GACTTTCTACTGAGTGTCTCATGCCCATATTATCCTTGGATCCAGAAATAAGTCAAGCTGCCTAATGATTTATATCTTAGTGCAGTGTTTAACTTGGAACCTGTGAAACATCCAGATGCTATCAGACTATGCGTCACACATTGTTCTAAGTACTCCCTTCCAGATATCTAAGATGGTGTTTGCCGTTAACACTTCTTTAAAGTACATCAGTGAGGACAGCGTGTAATTATGCCTCTCAGTTGCCCTTGTTCCAGAGTTGCCACGCTCCAAATGACTCATCCAATATGCCCCAATTTCTTCACATAGGACTCAACTCAAGCCAAGTTCTGTCAACTCAATGCCCCCCTCCATGAATGTCTAGCATTGCTGTGAAATGTTTTAGTGACCTCAAAGTTTGATGTTCTGAAATGACATTTTATTTCATAAGTTTTGATTAGGACATTTGTTGGCACAGTGTTTTTGAGGATACCAAGCTGGCAAAAAAATGTTCCCAGATTGCGCTAGGGATATGTTTTGAAAAGTCATATTTCTCAGTATAAAAGGTTTTCTATATACACATGGGGTCTGGACCATCAAATTCACTTTCTGTCCATTCCATTAAAAGAGTTATTTTCAAACTGTGGGTCACAGAAAGTGTGAGAATCGACCCTTTTTACATTTCTGAGTTTGGAATGCAGTAAAGTATAGTGTGGTTAACTTCTAAAAAGTTACATAGCGGACTATAGCAAATAGTATTTTTTTAATTTTAATTTGCTCCAACAATTGCGTTTCCACGACTTTCCAAAAATGGCATGCAAAAACAAACAGTGTGGCCTATGCAGCCCAATTCACAAATGAATGACTCTTTTTAGTAGGTTATTTTAATTAAGTGTTCAAATTTACACTGAATCCGTTTGACAAATCTTTCAGATCGGCTAATGAATCAGCATGCCATTGACCCACATACTGAACGTCAAGTTCGATGTCAGTACGTCTTTACATCAATAAAAAGGCTGCTCTTACTTGCTGTGCCACTAGGAAAACAACAATTTATTCTCTCTTTATCTGTATTCCCCAGTCATGTCTTTATTGAGTTTTTATCCTCATTTTTATAGGTTACTATTAGATAAGTTAGCCTACACAAATGCAATTTAACAAGGAAAATGCGACATTAATGTAAAGGGTGTTCTTTTTTTCATGTCAGAAGACCAATTTCTGTTCAGAATGCTTTATTCAGAATGCTGTCACCTTGAATTTATGCATTTTAATTTCATTGCCCCTACACTCTTAAAAATAAAGGTGCTTCACGGTGCCATAGAAGAACCTTTTTGTCTAAATGGTTCCATAAAGAACCTTTAACATCTGAGGAACCTTTCTGTTTCACAAAAGGTTCTTTGTTGTGAAAAAAGGTTCTTCAGATTACAAAAAGGTAAGAAAGAGATGGTTCTTTAAAGAACCATCTCTTTCTTACCTTTTTGTAATCTGAAGAACCTTTTTTCACAACAAAGAACCTTTTGTGAAACAGAAAGGTTCCTCAGATGTTAAAGGTTCTTTATGGAACCATTTAGACAAAAAGGTTCTTCTATGGCATCGCTGTGAAGAACCTTTTGAAGCACCTTTATTTTTAAGAGTGTAAGTATTCACTGATATTGCAAGTAATGAAAGGAGTTCTGTATTTATTATATAAATTCTCACTTCTGAATATTGAATACTCCTGATATCATATACCCTTTCTAGACCTAGAATGAGTATGTGACTTTACACGGGCCACAAAGAATTTGTCGTTATGTACTTGAGAGTGAGAGATTTCAAGATTTCAGGGTGAGAATGTTCTTTGTCTTTGAATTTCATTACGTTTGCTCTACCTATGAGGGATTCATTATCTTGATATCCAGGGCATAGAAACCTTATATAGGAGCAAACCTAGTTCTACAGTAACTTAACTGCCCTATCAACATACCCTTACAAAGACAGCGCCTGTAATCCCCTCTAACCAAGTGTGGGATCCACACTCTATCTGTCACATACCTGTCACTCTAACCTTCTGCCCCCTTGACATGTTCACATGTGACAGAAGACCACTGTCACTTCCTATCTTGTTCAGTTTTAAGTCATTATTAGTCAGTCAGAATGCATCAGCTGCAATGCGGATGAGGTTGTGTTGAGAAGTCCTCTTTTATCCACCTTATTTTTAACGCAAGAGCAGATGTGGTCATTTGTAAATTGAATGTGCGAGACTTCATGTGTCATCTGCTTTTCACTTATTTTAGCTTTACAAAAACAGTCAGTTATGCTGCTTCATATTGCAAACTGGTATTTGTTATCATATAATTTAAATTTATTATCGTAATCATAAACACACTGGTTTGTAGCACAAAAAGTTTAACTGTTTACTGCACTTTACTATTCTTTTAGTTGTTGTCCTTCTAATCGGACGTCTCGCATATTCACAGAAAATAGCTTGCTTCCGCATTGCAAAATAAGGTGGATAAGCTTATAAACAGAACACATGCTACATGCTAAAAATTATTTTTTATTAGTATCAATATTAGCCACCACAATAAAGTGACGTCCAATTCAATATGCAACAGTAGTGTATTCAGTGTTCAGTGTTACCTGGCAGTATGATTTTTTTTAGTAAAGGTATGGTCAGATTAGTCAAACTGCAGCTAAATTTTGCATAAAGTATGAAGGTCACACAGAAGTCACTTTCAAACCAAGCAGCTTCCTGTTGGTCAGCGCAGTGCATTCATGTTACAAACCTAAGCACAATCTGCATGGGGAACTCCTCACAAATTCCTAATGAAATGAGTGGAATTTGCAGAAATTTCGCCGATCAATGGTAAAGGTGACTGTACCTTAAGACAATCAATCGGACAATCATGTCAGATGTTTACATAACAATGAGTTCAGTAAGATAATGTTTTTTGTTGATTAAAATGTACCATTAATATGTTTTCTACAGGTCAATTAACAGTCAACAAGCATTTTAACCTGGGTCCAAAGAGATGCTTTAGTTAGCTACTGTGCAAAAACATTGTGCATACACAGTGAAAGTGGGAAAATGTGGGGTAAAATGTTCATATAGCACCGCTGACAAAATCCATCATCCCTTTAAAACTCTCACAAAGATCTTGCTGTTACAGTTTCCTTTTGCCTTACCTTAACACTGACCATTCAGATTCAAAATCTACCAGTTCCAATCCTGTTCTTCTTTATCTACTTAAAGAATACAATACATTTCAGAATTTATTCTCAACAGTTTGTGCTTGACAAAGAAACTATATTCCCCGTGCACCCGCTCTGACCACTAGCTACATCTTGTTCTACTTTCTACTTTTACTTTCTCATTTGTCCAACCATGAATTTTTATGGCACAATCAGTGAAGACTAGTCTAATATCATGCAAATTACATGAAGGGTGCAGATAAAGAACAGATAAAGAGAGAATCCCAGGGAGAAAAAGAGATCAAAGCGTAGTTGCTTATTGCTTATAGTGGCTAATATAACTGAATATAGTTCCTAGGAACTATAGACACTAGGAGAGAATGAGCAGGGAAAGTTGGCAAGAAATCACATATTTGATCACAGCATCCAGAAGCATTAGTGATGAACTCTTCAGTTGCATCCAATCCCGTGTCTAAGACTGATTACGGCAGATCCTTCCTCTCCGTAGTGGACTCTTTAATGATCTTTGAAAGAGAGATTGCATAGGTTCATTTTAGTTAAAACAGAAAACAATGCACACATAAAAAAAAACAAATCTGTAATGCAGAGATGCCCAGGGTTAAAGTTGGCTGATTTAAGTATAAATCAGTTATAATGACCTTTCATTTGGCCCACCATGCCATAGTAGTGGGGGAAAATAGAACACAAAAATGACACTGAAGCATATCTTCATTTATAATTGATTTTTTATAAAAATTTTTTGCATTGAAATCTAGAGAATCTAAGTGAATTTGATTGAAACATTAACTGCAGTAGTTAACATGAACTAACAAAAAAGTACTTCTAAAGCATGTATTAAACTTAATGTTAATTTTAACATTTACAAACACAATATTCAAATGTAAAGTTCTGTTAATATTATTTAATGGACTAACATCGACTAACAATGAATAGTTTTTATTTTTATATTTTATTAACTAGCGTTAATGTTAACTAATGGGACCTTATTGTAAAGTGTTACTAAAATAATGTAGTGTTGGATATAATGCAGCATTTACTTTTGGCCCATGATCCTCATTCAAGTTTGATTTTGGCCACCTCTGTTGTAATGCAATGTATGAAAGAATGAATGAATCAATTAATAAATGAACCAATAAATAATTGAAAGAATTGATCATTTAATTCTGTTGTGAGATTGTTGGGGGGGAAATGGTACCATCAGTTGATGATGAAGTAAGTGTGTATTCATGTAAAGTGGATGTTAAATACGTTTTTTTTTTTTTTTTTTTAAAGATTGATGAAGAGCGCCTCCTAGTGTTTACCTCTCCATCACGAGTCTCAACAGTTCGCACAACTATGCTCCTCTTCACATGTGCCTCAGGAGTCAGCTTAGTGTCCAAGCTGATGTCTAACAACAACACACACACACAAATTATTAAATAATAACATTTCATTTATGCAGGAATCATCAACTGGATGATGAATTTACTCACCTCTAAACTGTAAGTTGGTGAAGTTCTGCACCGGAACAGTGATTCTAGAAGAGGAGGAAGATATTCATTAAATCATATTTGAATTAATTTCATCCAATTATTGTGGTTGATGCAATTTCTCTACTCTCCTCACCTGCTTTCCTCTCCTTCGAGCAGCTTCCTGTAGGTGGCAATTTCAATGTCCAGAGCCAGTTTGACATTGAGCAGATCCTGGTACTCCTGCAAGTGTCTGGCCATCTCCTCCTTCAGCATCTGGATCTCATCCTCCAGACGGGCCACAGTGTCCTGGTAACCGGCCGTCTCTATGGCGAATCGCTCTTCCATCTCTCGCAGCTGACGCTCCAGGGACTCGTTCTTAAGGACAGCGTGAGACGTTTGAAATAGTTTTGAGAGGATGATGACTTTGCTGTCAAGTACTGTGCTCTACAGTCATGGGTGAAATTGTCTTTGTTGTTGTTCTGAATAAGTTTGGTGACAAGATTGGTAAATACTTACAGATCCACGAAAAGATTCCAGGTCACAGGTCAGGCCCTGAATCTGCCGACGATACTCATTGGCCTCTTGCTTAGCTTGTCTCAGAGCCTCTGCGTTACGGTTGGCTGCATCGGTCAGATCAGCAAACTAATGAAATAAATTATAATAATAAATTATTTATCTATTATTAAAAATGGTGTAGAAACAAAATTTTATTATATAATATCATATTATATTATATTACAAATAAAATTTTGCACTTAAAATCTTCTAATCAAGAAAATCCTCTAAAGAGGATGCATGCGTGTGTGTTCATGTAACCTTTGAGCGATACCACTCCTCAGTCTCCTGCATATTGGAAGTGGCCATGGCCTCAAACTGAGCTCTGATCTCCTTCAGGGCAGTGGTTAAGTCTGGCTTAGACACATCCAGATCCACATGAACCTGTTGGGCCATCAGCTGCTCCTGCAGCTCCCTCATCTCCTACACCGAGCAAAGAAGAGGGGTGAAAAAGTGAAAGAAGTTTACACATGAATATAATGGTGTCTGAACTAATCTGATCTTTAGGACTGAGTCTGATAAGGTTGACAGAATCTGATATAGCTACAAATAGCCAGATTAAATTAACATATTTAAGACAGATATGCCAGTTGGAGTAAAATCAGAGGAGACAGGAAGTGAAGTGAACAGATGGAGGTAGAGTGGAAAGAGTGCACTGTAAAAAACGACTGTGAATTTAACGGTAAAATACTGTAAAAATGCTACAGTAAAAACCTGTTAAATGGTTAACGGTAAATTCCCCTACTATATACAGTGAAAAACTGTATTGGACATTACATGTAATTTTACGGTAGTATATTAATGAAAATTTAAGTTAAAACCGTAAAACCTAAAATGTTGCTACCGTATTTTTTACGGTAAAATTCCGGCAACTACAGCTGCCGGTTTTTTACCGTAAATTTGATGGAATTTTTTTACAGTGTGGGAGAGATAACACACCTCCTCATGGACCTTCTTCAGGAAATTGATCTCATCCTGCAGAGCATCAATCTTCCTCTCCAGCTGCACACGGTTCAGAGCTGCTTCATCCACATCCTGGAATCAAAAGTGAAATTCATGATAGCAATTTGCTAACTTATTCATGATACATGAATGAGACGAATGGAGTGTTCCTTACTTGTCTGAAGGTGTTGAGGTTGTTTTCTGTTTCTTGCCGTAGAGCAGTTTCATCTTGAAGTCTGGAGGACGCATAAGAAAACATATCTAAAAAAGGCTTTCTACAACCAATAGTGCACCACATATTCAAGATTTGCAGGACACAAATAACCCCCAGAGAGCCAAGCATTGATACTGATGGTGCGTTTTCTTCTTTTCCCTCTTGAAAGTGTTTTTAAGAAGTCATAATATTTATTCGATTTTTTTGAAGCCTTCATTTAAAACCTTCCCAGCTAGGAGGCCGTCATTGACTAACTCATGAAGACAGTCACTTGTCTCCTACTGATACTCTTTTAAATTTAAAATTATATAATTATTTATATATATTTATTTATTTAATATACTTTCTTTTCATCAGAGAGTCCTGAAAAACGATTTATCACTGTTTCCACAAACACATTCAGCAGAACAACTGTTTTCCACATTGATAAGAAATGTTTCTTGAGCAGCAAATCAGCATATTAGACGGATTTCTGAAGGATCATGTAACACTGAAGACTGGAGTAATGACGCTGAAAATCTGTCATCACTGGAATAGATTACATTTGAAAATATATTACAATAGAAAACAGTTATTTAAAGCATAAGAGATAGTAAGATCACATAAGATGGTAAGCATAAGAGACTCTTACCGTAATGGTTATAGTACTGACTAATAGACTCCCCATAATCCGCATAACATCACACTATATGCTCTGATCTGTGAATTTCCCCTGCCCTCATAGTGTATCCTGATTAGTTATTTATGATAAATCAGTTGTAATGAAAGGCTCACAGTGGAGGTGACACATGATAGTGTGTTGAGACCTGCAGCAGGGGGTTGGACAGGGTTCAATGGATCACTCATGCATCATTAACTGCTCACACCCACTGCAGCTACTGCTCTTTCCCACGGGGTGGAGTAGATGCACTTCCTTTCATAAACACCCTTCTAAACTGAGCAGCTACACCTGACACATGAGGTCTAATATAAATCAATACAAAAAATTCCAAACAGTGTCTAGTTCGAGCATACAAATAAAAGTAATGCATGTACATCAAAAATAAGCACTTTGAATTTGGATGCACAGCTTAGTCCTAATGCAACTTTTATTTTTGTGTATTGACTTGGTTTCTACATTCTTATTTCACTTAAATGTTACTGATGTTTCATCAAATATGAACAGGGAATTAAATAGAGAATTGCAAGTGATTTTTTCCTGTCAGCTCTGTTTGAAGAGATTCTCATAAATGTTTTCATGAATCAAATTTGGTCTCTGAATGATCTGGTATGGGAAACACGCCGGTCGCTACAGAGTCTAGTGAGTTTAAAGGTATGAGATTTGGAATTAGATAAAAAATGTGTTTTTTCTCTAACAACAGGACATCTGCACTGGGAGTGTTCAAGCCGAACTGAGGCATTGTGCCCCTCACTGCCCCCATACCACTCAGCGAATCAGGCTTTAGTTTGAAAGGAGAGGCAGCATGGGAATAAATGAGAGTGAAATGGGGAGCCTCTCATTGAAAACGGAGTTGGGGTGCTATAAATTCACACAGTAACATTGTAGTTGTAGCAGTTTTGTACTGATGTGGAAAAAAATACTAGAGGTGCTGCAGTTGTTCATTCTTAAGAGATTCTTTACCCATATTAGAGCTGTTCTTAAGGGCAGGCTAATGGATGGCATTTCTTGGACATGGCTATTGACCTTTTTTGTGACATTGTTCTTCTTGCTCTTAGAATTCTTCATGGAATGTGTGATATCTCGACCCCAGCTAGGCACATCTACTCATATAAATGATCTGACTGACTTGAATGCAATGCAAGTCGCTTTAGATAAATGTGTCTGCCAATTGTATAAATGTAAATGTAATGTCAACAGAAGTTACCTTGAAGATCAAAGTTTATAACATTCTGTTTTAAAAAAAAAAAAACGTTATTTCTTAGCTTTTATATTAATTTACCCTATCTTGCTCTGTATATTCTTCTTTTAAAAAATAAAAATATAAACGAATTTTGTCTTTGCAAAATTCTATGCATTTATTTATACACGTTAATAATATTCTATGCATGTTTTGAAAAATTATTAAATCCTTATTATTATTATTATAAAATATCTGCAAGATATATAACATTTGGTTAAATATATATATAATGTTTAATTTCACAATTTATATATTTATATGTTATTATATTATTCTATTTATATATTCTATTTATTTATATATTATATTATATAATATAAACTAAAATACACACATATAATATAAACTAAAATATATCTGGTTTAAATATATATGATTTTTAACTCACTGTTAAAATACATTTAGTATTTGTTTATTTATTTTAGCTGTTTTATTATATTATATTATATTATATTATATTATATTCTTTATTTATTAAGTTGCATTCAATATCCACCTAGTTCAAAACTCTGGGAGGGCACTTTAAATGGGCATAACATATCTGTCCTTACCTCTGTTTAAGAGTGGCCAGGTCTGAGGCCAGGTTGTCTCTTTCGATCTCCAGTCTGGCTTTACCAGCGTTGAGGCCGTCCACCTGCCTGCGGAGCTCCCTCAGCTCCTCCTGGTAGATGTCCCCCAGACGGCTGGGCTCCATTCCCCTCAGCTGGTTCAGTTCCGCCACCAGCATTTTGTTCTGCTGCTCCAGGAAGCGCACTTTCTCGATGTAGCTGGCGAAGCGGTCGTTCAGCCCCATCATCTCCACCTTCTCGTTGGTGCGCGTCTCCCGGTACTGGGCCTTCAGCAGGGTGTCTGCAGAGAAGTCCAGCCGCTCCCCACCCAGGGACAGGCGTGAAGTGGACAGGGTGATGGGACTGGAGGTGAGGTGGCGCGGGCTGCTGTGGAGGGACAGGCGGCCCGTGCTGAAGCGGCTGGTGACCCCCATTGATGGGGAGCCGCCTGAAGTCCCGAAACGCTTTCGGTAGGATGAGAAAGCTCGCTGGGTCTCCATGCCGGAGGAAAATGAGATCGAGTGTGGGCGAACTTTGGGTTTTTATAGAGAAGGCGGGGGAGAGAGAGGGGGTCCAATGGGGAGGGCAAAGGCCAGGGGGAGTGTATGTGAGCCCGGAATTGTTTGTGCTTGTCCACCCAGTCTCCTGACTGCCTCTTTTCACTCTATTATGTCTGTGTCTCTGGTGTGGGGTGCACCGTGTGTGGGGAGGGGACACAGTCAGTCAGAGAAAATCCAATTCATGCCACTACTGGAACACAGCACACACAGAAACAGACTGTGATGGCACTGCTATTTGACTGTTCTGTCTCACCCCATAAAAAAAGTGGTGCTTTGTACCTTTTCTGAGTTAATTTGGAGTTCCTCTGCTACTTGGTCAGAGTTTTTCTGTCGTTCCAAGAGGGGTTTTAATGATGTCACGGAACACTGGGGTGATTACCTAATTCTTCGTTATAAAAAGGGTCTGCCGCTCTCTTTTGTGCTGATCTGGGAACGTCACACACATGCTTTTCAGCACCACTGATTCATCTGTTTACCAGAAAAATCAAGTTACCAGAAGATTTGACTCATTTAACTTTATACAACTATTAAAGGAACAGTTTACACAAAAATACAATTTAAGTCATCATTTACTCACCCTCATGTCATAACACCAAATAAGATACTTTAAAAAATGCCTGAGCTGCTCTCGGCCATACAATGTAAATGGAGACCAGGAGTTGTCAAGCTCCAAAAAAAAAAAAAAAAAAGAGCACTTTCAAAGTCATTGTTGTTAACTAAAACTAATGCTATTAATTGAAATAAAGCTGTTAATTTTTTACATAGAAAATATGCATAAAAATGTTTAAGTAAAGCTACTAAAACTGAAATAAAAAATAATTTAAGCTAAACAGTAATATTGAGAAGCAAATAAAAAGATAAATTAAATAACAAAATTACTAAAACTGAAAAAAGCTATTTCACATGATTAATATATACTATAATTGTACATAAATAATATTAAAATAACACTCATGAAAGTAGACAATATGTCTCGTCTGCTGTATTCCACGTCATTATACAATGAATCTGAAAATTCAAAGAAATATTTACTGAAAATCTTGCCAGATGTGGAACATTTCTACTGAATGGGAGTGTAGCTCAGACATCTTGCTAATTAATTAATAATAAATAAGTATAAATGCTAATTAATTGTTGCTAATTAATTTATAAATAAATAAGAATAAATATATTTTATTTATACTATTGCTGAAGTGCAAGAGAAAAAGTACAGATGGTTTTGATAAATGGTTTGGTTCATGCCCCATCAGCAGTCTACAAAGTAGTAGAGGAGTGTATGAAGGCCAGAGAGACCCACAGCCAGACAGAAAACAACACACCCACCGATGAGCTCACCAGCAGCCAGCACTGATGACCAGCAGACTGCAGGATTGTTATGGATGGACGCCCAGATCCAGTGAGAAAATGCTATGTTGGATGTTAGGAAAAGTAGTAAAGATATTAGAAGTCAATTATGGGGCATAAATTCACATACTGTAGAGGAGAGTGGGGTAAGATGTGTCAGTGGGTCAATTGTGCCTCCCCATAATTTAAGGAACTGTGCACAATGTTTGCCAAGCGAACATGTTTAGAAAGCATTATATTATTATATCTAGCATGGTATATGAGGAAGTATAGAGTTTTTTGTATACTACATTACAAAAGCTTCGAATCAGTAAGATTTTTAAAATATTTTTGAAAGTCTCTTATGCTCACTCTAATGCTAAGGCTGCATTAATTTGATCACAAATGCAGTAAATAGTAATACTGAGAAATATTATTACAGTTTAAAGTAACTATTATATGAAAACAGTTATATTTTAAAATGTAACTTATTCCTGTGATGGCAAATATATATATATGACTACATTATTTTAAAGATCTGTTCCAAATCTGCTGTCAGTTAAGGTTGATAAAAGCATGTACAAAAGTTTTAATCAACTTAGTTAAAAGGCTTTTCAATTCATTTTTTATTTCAGATATGTGAATTGAAGTGCAATTTGCACAAGCAGTACAGCAAATACGAATATCATTGATGTTGGATTGGAAATATTTTTCCCTCAAGCTGCAGCTGACATTCCAAAAATGTTTTTAAATGTCATGTTTTCCTGCAGGCTCAAGACTCATAGACATTGTAATTTTGCCCCAGGAAAATACTGTACTTTTACAGTATGTGGAACAAAGCTACCTCATCTAACAGGTTCTGAATCCCTCAATAAAAAAATCTCAATAAATATTTTTCTGAATAAATGATTTCCACTTAATATGTTGCTTATTTTTACTAAAAATCTGTAATAAAATCTGTAAAATCTGTAATAAAAACAGTCACACTAGTTTGGGCATCAATTCTCACTATTAACTAACCATTAACTATGACTTTTGCCTCCAATAGTGAGAATTGGTCCTTAAAACAAAGTGTTAAAATAATATTAATATTACTACTACTACTACTAATAATAATAATATTAATATTAATAATAATAATAATATTTAATATAAGTATCTTTTAAATATATTAAATATTTATATTTATAATTTACATATTTAAAGATATAAAAAACAACTGTGAGGACAGAGCAACATGTCATATTTCCCTGCAACATTAAGACTTGGAATGTAGGAATGTAATCATAGACATATTTCTTTTTAATCATTCTTTCCTTGAGTTCCATAGCAAGCCAAACCTGTTTACTCTCAAAATGACTGAACGTGTGAACTTGAAAGCATTTTACATATTATATATATATTTAATATATTTCAGAACACCACTATATATACATATATATATATATAGTATTTTTACAAGAACAATGTAATTAATAGGCTATTCTATTTATTAAAACCAAGTATAATTCTAATCAGTTTAGTGTTTTTAAGCATTTTACATTTATTCCAAAATAATAACCCAGGGCAGTAACAATTTAAGCTATATATTTTATTTAAACAATTATATATTTTATTTATGAACTAATGTTCAGCTGTTCTTTTTAATAATAAACTTATTTTTGGATCATCAGTCATCAGAGCTCGGTAAACACTGGTCACAGATGTGGAGACATAGGCCTACCTTTAATTTCAACAAGCTGATTGCTCACTAGAAAAAATCATCTCGGTTATGTATGTAACCTTGGTTCCTTGAATAGGGAACAAGATGCTCCGAAGCCATCACTATGGGAACATCTTCAGTGTGACGATGTCTGAAGCCTTTATACCATCACACCATTTTATTGGCCAGTAGCGCTTAGCACTGCCCGAGAAATACATCTCGTATGCTCATACCAGCATGCTATGTGCAATTTCATCAGGTTTCTATGTACGAAGGAAGCACCTATCGAAAGGTATGTGAAAGGCCGGCGACCCAGCATCTCGTTCCCTACTTAGGCAACCAAGGTTACATATGTAACTGAGACGTTCCCTTTCATAGGTTCACTCTACGCTGTGAAGCCGTCAATATGGGAATGATATACCATAATGCATTCACGTACCTGAAGATAGCTCTCAAGACTGTAGAACTTAATAAAAGTGTTCGGATAGGACCATCCTGCTGCAGCACAAATATCTTCCAACAAAGAGCCCTTAAAAAGAGCCTGAGAAGAAGCCATTCCTCTAATGGATTGAGCATGCACACCTAGAGGCGAAGCTAAGCCACGTGTCTCATAGGCCACAGAGATAGCCTTAACCACCCAATGAGACATTCTCTGTTTGGTGATGGCAGCTCCCTTGTTTTTACCGCCAAAACATACAAACAACTGGTCAGATCTACGCCACTGGGATGCGCGGTCAACATAGATTTTGCAACGCCTTCACCGGGCAAAGACTAGGAAGTCGCACATCACTTCCAGTCCCTGCATTAGAAGGGGAAAAAGCCTCCAAAAACACCTGCTGGAAGCGAAATGGGGTCGAAACAACCTTAGGAATATACTCAGGCCTAGGTCTCAGCAAGACTTTAACCAGCCCCGTTCACTCTACGCTGTGAAGCCGTCAATATGGGAATGATATACCATAATGCATTCACGTACCTGAAGATAGCTCTCAAGACTGTAGAACTTAATAAAAGTGTTCGGATAGGACCATCCTGCTGCAGCACAAATATCTTCCAACAAAGAGCCCTTAAAAAGAGCCTGAGAAGAAGCCATTCCTCTAATGGATTGAGCATGCACACCTAGAGGCGAAGCTAAGCCACGTGTCTCATAGGCCACAGAGATAGCCTTAACCACCCAATGAGACATTCTCTGTTTGGTGATGGCAGCTCCCTTGTTTTTACCGCCAAAACATACAAACAACTGGTCAGATCTACGCCACTGGGATGCGCGGTCAACATAGATTTTGCAACGCCTTCACCGGGCAAAGACTAGGAAGTCGCACATCACTTCCAGTCCCTGCATTAGAAGGGGAAAAAGCCTCCGAAAACACCTGCTGGAAGCGAAATGGGGTCGAAACAACCTTAGGAATATACTCAGGCCTAGGTCGCAGCAAGACTTTAACCAGCCCCGGGCAAAGTCCATACAAATAGGGCTGATTGAAAGAGCCTGCAGATCCCCTATTCTCTTAAGATACGATAGAGCCACCAAAAGGACCGTCTTCAGGGTCAAAAACTTCTCTGACACTCCAGACTCCAATGGCTCAAATGGATGGCCTGCAAGACCTTCCAGGATGATAGATAAATCCCATGAAGGAATTTGTGCAGGGCGGAAAGGCCTAAGCTGTCTCAACCCTTGCATGAAATGGGAAACCAGGGGGTGACATCCAACAGAAACACCTCCCGTGGGCACATGCTCAGCAGATATGGCTGCCACATGAACTTTAAAAGTGGCAGAGGCTGCCCCCTTCGGAAAAAGGACTCTGCAGAAACTCCAGTATTGAACTTACAGGGCAATGAACTGGGTCTAGGTCATGTCGCCTACACCAAGAGGCAAAAATCTTCCACTTAAGGGCATACAGGCACCTTGAAGAGGGGGCCC